GAAACAATGTTTTTTTTTTACTTATTTAAATAATATTTTATTTTAACAGCATCTGCAGATTCTGCAGTACTCACGAGAACGCTGTGTTGTGGTTATACAGAGTTCAGATATCGAATTTCAAGTAGGCCCCTAAATATTATATACCTATATAGTTATACGAGACTTAATTTGCATAAATGCATAATATATATTAATAATATGCAATTATGATTAATAAAATACAACTGAAGACGGTGGTCGGAGCGCCAGACAACTACATATTTTATTTGTACGTCATGTAATACAGTTCTGAATGGTTTGTATACTTAAGCTTTAGCTATGGTTACATTTATGTATTCGTTGTAAATTACTTGATTGTTCGTGCACTTTAGCTTAAGAGTCGAAGTAATGAGACGTATAATGATTAATGGGAACAACTAACAAATTGATAATGTTTTTGTATCAAACAAAGAAACGCACAAGAATAAAAATATTATGGGAATGTTCAATCTGTCTTATTTTTGATTGTTTACGAAATTGTTTATTTTTATTTTATTAATTTCTCTTTGTTATTTTAATTTCATAAAATTTGGGAAATTTGTGGTCAAACAGCTGTAAGTTTTATTGGATACGATTATTGATAGTGGCGTAGCACAATATTAAAATTATAAATAATCTTCAAATATTTTACGATCCTCAGATATGTGATAGATATTACACTAATTAATAACTTATAATTAAGTAATATTATATGGGTTTGAAATAAAACATAAGGTAAGCCGTAGGTAATGTGTATGAATAGACTAGACCACGATAAATGTACTTTCAATTGCACGCATGCAAATAAATAATAATTTATATTTGTCTGAACAATAAGTAGGTAGGTATAAAAATGTAGTATACAAATGTGTACATAAATAATAAAAATGTGTAAAAAAATTAACATTTTAAGTATATCACCTGCAAAAATGTATAAATTATAATAAATACACGAAGACTATTAGTTATTATTAATTAAACCGATTGATTTGAATTGTGTTAGATTGACTTTTTACTTTGAAGTACCTATATATTATGTAGGATAATATACAAAACGTATATTTTTATGTTTATGCGCTTCATCGAGATCGTATTGTTAAACTTCAAATAAAAGTACCGCGAGTTATTTGAAACCAATAGCGAAATAAAACGCTCGTCTTATATCGAAAATTGTGACGTTTCACTACTTGTGTGAATATTAAATACAATTTGGAAACTAATATAATCCAAGACAATTACTTCTTATGTACTCGAATCGTAATTTATTATTACTTAATGTTTATAATAATACTAATTTTAAAAGAAAGTTTTTATAAAAACGCAATTAAATATGCACCTAGGTAATTACATTAAATTTACATAACTTTGAGTGGAGATATCATAGAATATATTATTATAAATTAAAATACATGTAGGTATTATATATATTTTTATAAGCGTACACACTACACATAGATATATAGGGTGATTTGGTGATTATAGAACCTTATGTTTAGTCGGTAAGTGAATTGAAAGTTATTTATTTGTCGTATACACAAAGACTAAGTAATCATTGAAGTCTGATGAAGTGTCAATGAAGATTTCAATAGTAAATTCAAGTATGTTATTAACAATTTAAATCTCAGGTGAAATCCTTCTATACCTAATTACCTCGTGTATACTAACTTTCTGATTTGAATTAAAAAAAAAAACTAATGATGAAAAGTTGTCGGAGAATGTTAATTTAGTCATTAATCACACGCATTAAATGTAACTGAGAAATATTTTAAAATACAAATTATATATTTAATAAATTTTAAAATAAAAAGTAAAACCGACAGAAAAAATATTATATTTTTAAAAGTCAAAACGTAATAATACGTACATCTTGACGAGAAATATTTATGAAAATATTCTAAAACTCAATACGCGGTGACTGACGGAAGAATATGGATCAATACGTTTTATATAATATTATTATAATATATTATCAGAATGTATCGGGGCCATAAGAAAAAAAAAGTACTAAATATAATATTTTGAGTATATACATTCCTCTCGTCGTAATAAACATACAAGTATAACACAACACAACATTATACATTATTTTTATGTGACATCACTGTCCACCGCTGACGTTAGATAACAATAAATGTTTTGGATAACAATAAGGAGTCCGCGTACACACACAACAGACACAAAACACATTGCACGGAAGACTTGGCAACCCTGGGTGTGACAAATGAATGCATAACAATGGCATTAGGCCGGTAAGCACAATAGAAGGATTGCCGAAAGAAGTGGCTGCAAGGTTAACCACCTCACAACACCAATGGTCGAGAGTATTGTGTGGGAGAGGAATAGAAAGACCTATACTGACTAGAAACGTTATCGGTTTTTAGGCAAATGCGTGGTTATGCCACCTTGCGGACACCTGTGCACGTTTGAATACGTATTGGGTACACTTCAGGCGTAGTCCTCCTCACAAGTCACAATATATGCTTTGCAGACTGAAGTTATAATATTAGTAGTTCTATTCAGAGGCATCGCTACTGTCGTCAATATTTTAGCTCAAAAGACATTAAGTTTTAAAAAAATGTTGTTTACCTTGTCTAATTTTGATTCTGAAAAACATTTAAACTCTTCAGAAAATTGTCTATAGATTGTACGGAACACTTTGTACAAATTAAATATTATATTATTGTGAACTGTAATTTATTGAAAAATTTTAAATATGGATTTTTTCAAATCATAATTAAAATTAAAAATTAAAAGTGTTTCGTACGATCTAAGACATAAGTATTCTGCTGAATTCAAGTATTTTTTTCAGAATTAAAATCAGACAATTTTGTCAAAACAATAAGTAAGTTATCGTACAATTCACATGGTAAATTATATATTGTTATCGAGTTATTAACACGTGCAGCGTGCGCGAGAGTGGTAATCATACTGAATTTAACTCTCACTAATAGTCATTTACAAGTCACAACTAACGCATAGATCTCATGCGGCTAAGACGAGATCATAAATTGCCTAAATGTTGCGCCTTAAATAATAGCCGTAGTTAAGGGGACTGTAAACGGACAATTATTTCCTATACATTTTGTTTGAATATTAAAAATGCGTGAAATTTTTAATGTTGATTATTCAAAAATTAAATTAAGGATCTTAAAATGTGGCCTGATCGATCTCAAGTAGACATATGAACGAATTCAAATCAGTTTTTAGAAGTATTTTACCGTTATCAGGTCCATCGGTAGGATTGACAAAAAGTAAGTCATACAAATGAGCTTAAATTGTTAACCGTTCATTCATGCATGATTTTTACAGTTGTACGTAAGCGTGCGGGAAAACGATTACACACATACGAATGATCACTTACTACGCACACATTTACAAGGATCGCTTGCAAACTTTGAAAATCGCCTATTTTGAACTACTTAAAAATGCAGTTTAATATAATATTATCCTGTATAAATAATATATTCACTATAAATATATAAAATATATTAAACAACTGTTAAAAAAATATTTTTTTAATATAAAACGCATTTCAGTTATTATCATTACATTAAAAAATAACATATTCATAGTTATTTAAAATAATTGGTATATTTAGGGAATAATATAGTGTTTTCATTTAAAAGTTAGAAGTCTTATTATATATTATATTGCGTTGCGAAAAATGATTTTTATTCATTACTTCATAATAACGAGATAAAACAATAATGGTATAATTAACATGAGATCATTACTGTTAATTAATTTTCAAATAAACCAAGTCAATAAGTCATGATCTAATAATATTAGATTGTAAAATGTTCATAATTTGAAAATTTTTATTAATATTGCCTACACTAAACTCCTAAAAAAACGGTCATCACTCATCAGTAATATGCTGATTGTTGATACTACGTAAACGCTATCTAACGGTTAAATCAAAACCAATTTAACCATTTAACCTAACGATTGATATCATGGTTTTTAATATTCTTTTGAATTTATCATCAATATTAAATGTTTGAGTAGGTACACGTTATAATGAAGACTGGGTGAAAGGCTTTAGCTTTCAGTTGTTTTCCATTACATCATACAAGGAATTGAGTTCGTTTGAAATTAGGTTTTATTCTGCATATTAATTATAAGTTATTTTAATGATTTGTTGTTTTATTATGATTAAGTGGTGAACGTTAACTCTGGTAGTAATTTGACTTTTATTTACGAAGATAAGTTATTGTTTAATTGTTTTTGTCAATGCATCTAAATAGCACTTGACAATAATTGAAAATACCATTAAAAAAATATTAGTTCTGTTTTTGATTGTTAGGTATTTTTTAACACAGTTGACACTAAACAAAATTGTAAATGATTGAATTATACTAATAGGAATAAAGTGGTTGGGTAAAACAAAAAAAAACAAAATGTTTTTTTTTGCTCATTTTTATGTTTTATAGAACAGTTTTCCAATTTGTGATGCATTTATCGTGCATTAATGCATTCATTCTTCTGAATATAATATGATAGTAAATTATTGTAACAAATTAAAATGTTTTTTTAGATGTTTTACATTTATGTTATATTAAGTTGCCTATCAGTAACGCCTTAATGTGATGGGTAATTTTTATGTTGAAATATATTTATGAAGAACGTTTTTCTAATAAGAGGAATGCATAACGATTTTATGTTTTAAGTCTTTTTTTACAAATAGGTTTTGTATAATAGCGTTGATCATAAGCAATAAGTCTAGTATTTTTATCATGTACTATGGCGTATAGTACATAATAGTACATAATTACATTGTATCGTATGGATAACAATAATTTTATTGTACTTTTAAGGGGCTTAATGTAGGCAAATATAGTAAAATATATTGAAATACAAATTTAAGAATTATCCAGTCTTCGTGCGGCGTTCATCGTAACAGGTAGTGTGTACACCTATCCCGCTCGCTTATCTTTACCGTCGCGCGTGTTTATAAATCAAAGTTCAGTGTATGGTGCAACATGGCAAAAACCAATACTTCCCAACATTCGGGCCACAAACGTACTAGTAGCGCGGCCCTGTCTCCGCGGCTAACCAACAAAAATAGATACACACCAATCGCAAATCATGAAGATCAAAATGTTGATAACCTCGAAGAAGAGGACATGGATCTCGAAGAGGTAAAACAAAAAATTCCTCCACTGTATATATATGAAATCGATGATTACATTATGTTCCTTGATAAGATCACACCTATGATAGTAGACAATTTTAACATAAATAATAAAAATGTATTCTTGAAATTAAATCTAACAACTGTCGACGACTATCGTACAATCACCAAATACCTATCTGAAATTAAAATAAAATACCACACTTATCAACTTCCCGAAGAACGAAATCTATCAGTTATAATCAGAAACATGCCAACTTCCATCCCTGAAGAAACAATATTCAAGGCCCTTGTTGAGCTAAAATTCAATGTCACATCGGTCACTCGTCTCCAAAACCGTTACAAATCCCCTATCCCAATCGTAGCTGTCTTACTAGACAAATCGGAAAAAAATATTTTTTCACTTGATCGCCTACTACACTGCGTTATCGCAGTTGAGAGCCGCAAAAGCGATTCGTCCATACCACAATGTAAAAACTGCCAACGCTTCCAACATACAAAAAATTTTTGTAATCTTCCCCCTAGATGCGTCAAATGCCTAGAAAACCACCATTATTCTGAATGCACCAAAGACATAAACACCCCACCTACATGCGTCAATTGCAATGAAAGTCATCCTGCCAATTATCGAGGTTGTAAAATTTATAAGCAAATTAAAATTAAAAATAGCTCCAAACGTTTCAGGAACGCTCCTAAGCATATAATGCAATCGAGCAATTTAAACGATAATAATAATACTAAAACCCCAGCCTATACTGTCGATCACATAAATACCCAAAATCAAGACCCAATCCAAATAACTCAAAACTTAAGCAACACTCCACCCTACGCCGAAAAAACAAAAAAAAAAACTAATCAACATCAAAAAGAAGAAATCAACAACTCAAATATCACTAACGAGCTTATAAAGTCATTAATGCCACTAATCAGCTCACTCATCTCACAGATTATTAAAAAAGTTATCGAAAATCTACCAGCTCTATTAAATAATATCAATGTCGTTTAATAATTTAAATAATATTAAGCTAGTTATCATTAATTGGAATGCCAATGGAATTAAGCAAAATCGTAACACATTTGCAGCGTTCTTATCAGCACATAATGTCGATATCGCTTGCGTAAGCGAAACACATCTAATCGCTAATGACAAAATTAAATTTAATGGGTACACCACTTATCGCAAAGATAGGCTAGCGGTACGACCATCAGGCGGTGTCGCTATAATAATTAAAACAAAAATTAAACATCAACAATCATATCTACCTACATTGAAAACTCTTGAAGCAGTAGCAATATCTATTTCAATAAATCACTCAATCACAACAATAATTAGTGCTTACCAGTCACCTAGCTTTCAAATGTACACAAATGACTTTGACAAAATATTAAATAGCTATCAAAGAATTTTGCTAGTTGGTGATCTAAACTGCAAACACACGACTTGGAACTGCAAAGTTACAAATGCAAACGGACGTAAATTATTCAATTATCTCTCAAACAGTTCCACGATAATGAGTGCTCCAGATACACCTACCTACTTCCCATATGATCAAAATAGAAATTCTGATATATTAGACGTAATTTTACAAAAATCGATTCGTTTTTCCATTCACCAAGAACCACTATACGAACTCGATTCAGACCATTTGCCTGTAAAAATTACAATAGATGCATCTCTATCATTTTCAACACCCACCCGTAAACTTATCACCGGCAAACCAGATTGGGAAAAATTCAAACAACATATCACTCAAAATCTAATTATTCCCAAAAATATTTTGAACATTCCCAATGCAGATAATGCGGTAAAACATTTACGCGAAATCATTTGCCAAGCGGCCGACACATGCTCAGCAAAACAAAACACGATAACAAATTACAGTCCTAATCAACTTCCCCATACAATATTAAAATTAATCAAATCAAAACATCAAACGAGGAGACTCTGGCAAATACATAGACTACCACAAGATCGAAAAAAATTAAATTATCTAACAAAAAAGGTTAAAAACTCACTCGAAGAACACAGAATTAACTGCTATCAAAAATATTTATCTACAATCCACCCTGCTGACTCTAATTTATGGATTGCAACCAAAAGATTAATCAAACCGAATACCAATGAAATTCCCCCCTTAAAAGCGGGAGATGCTTATCTAAATACAGAAGCTGATAAATGCGAATTGCTTGCTCATACTCTCGAAAATGCATTCACTTTAAACAGCTCACAAGATAATTCTATAAACTATCTAGTTCAACAAAAACTTAATGAGCCTGTTATTCAACCACAAAATATTTTACCATACTCAAGCCCTAACGAAATCTTAAATATAATCAAAAATTTACCAAAAAGAAAATCACCCGGACACGATTTAATCACTAATACTATCCTAAAAAATATTCCCAAAAAAGCGATAACATATTTATCCATCTTATTCAATTCCCTAATAAAAATTGGATACTTTCCTACAGAATGGAAATTGGCCACAATAATACTGTTCAAAAAACCAGGTAAAGATAATTCTAATCCCAGCAATTACAGACCTATAAGCCTACTGTCCTCAGTTTCAAAAATATTTGAAAAAATTATTCACTTAAGGCTTACTAATTACTTAAATGCAATAAATGCTATCCCTCATTTCCAATTTGGATTCAAATCAAACCACTCCACTGCTCAACAACTTCTGCGACTAACGGAGCATATAAATGATGGATTTGAAAAAAAACTACATACAGGGGCAGCCTTCTTAGACATAGCCCAAGCCTTCGATCGGGTCTGGCACGACGGACTTTTATATAAATTAAAAACATTAAACACTCCAACCGCAATATATAATCTAATTAAATCCTACCTCTCCGATCGCTGCTTTAAAGTTCGAATCAACGATACTACATCGGGAACAAAACAAATTAACGCAGGAGTACCACAAGGTTCAAAAATTTCACCTTTACTTTTTAACTTATACGTCTCGGACTTCCCTACAACAAATAATACCGAAGTAGCACTATACGCTGATGACAGTGCTATATACTCAAGCGCCAAAGACACCGAAACAATAACCCAAAATATTCAAGCCCACCTGAATGAAATTCAAAAATGGGGAGATAAATGGAAAATTATGTTAAACCCCCATAAGAGCACTGCGGTACTCTTCTCCAACCGACGCCCGAAAACTCCTGGTAACTTAAATTTGTGTGGTAATAATATTCCTTGGTCACCTAAAATAAAATACCTAGGTGTAGTTCTGGACAGAAAATTAACTTGGAATCCACATATCACCTCCAAACTACAACAAGGATACCAGAGGCTAAAAATACTATACCCATTGATCAACCGACAAACTGCTTTAAGCTGGAGATGTTCTCTTTTATTATATAAACAAATTCTACGACCGTTACTTCTATACGCAGTCCCTGTGTGGGGAAATTGTGCAAAAACCCACATCCACAAAATACAAGTTTTCCAATCAAAAGTTTTGAGAACCATTTCTAATGCTCCATGGTTTGTACGAAATGATGCACTTCACAAAGATTTTCAGCTACCCACAATAACAGAGTACATAAAAAAATTAACTATCAACTTCTTCGATCACATCAATTATGCTCATAGTGCGAAATTTTATAAGCTAAGTGACCCACCTTCTGTACGCCGACTCAAGCGTGGACGCCCACACGACCTATTGTTATAACTATTATTTATTAATACATTATTATTTTTGTTTTTATTTTTTTATTTTTTTTCTTCCGTTTTGTAAATATTTAAAACGTAGTCGATAGTTTCTATTTTTACTAATAATTTTTCTAATTATTACTAATTGTTATATTTTTTCCAAATGTTAAAAAAAAAAATGTATCTAATCAACACTAAGTTAAGATGACATATGTCAGTAAAACTTTATTTAATAAAAAAGTAAAAAAAAAAAAAAAGAATTATCCAAGCAAAAATATTAACTTGGGTTTCATAATAATACCTATATCGGGTACTTTTTTATTTATAGTACTCAAGTTCTTGATTTTATATCGACAAAAATTACTAATTTGACATTTTTATGGACAAGCATTTTAACACGGTGCAAAACAGTGAAAAACAAACTGAACGGCTAAAGCAGCTTACCGGGCGGGATGTGTTTGAGATCTTCTTGTACTCTGGACAGACATCCGGTCAGGGCGGTGGCCACTTGCTTCCGGCGGTCGTCCTCGGATTCGTTGCCGCCGCAGGGATGGTGGACGTCGCCCGACGTCTGCAGCAGCGATGATGCTTCGGCGGTGGCCGTGCCCGCCGTCGTCTCGACGACCGTCTGCATGTCTATGACGTGGCCACAAGTGTCTACCAGGTGGACGGTGTTGACGTCCACGGCCGGCCCCGTCCGTCCAACGGTGGCCGGCGAAGGCCGTCCTACAAGCGCGGCCGCTCCGCCACCACCACCTGCGCCGTTCCGCTGTGGCCACGGTATGCTACCCCGTGGCATGCTGCTGTAGGCTCGCAGTTCGGGTGACCCTCTGACGGCCGACCACGGAGACGAGTCTGTCGGCAAAAACACACATAACGCGTTACGCACACGATAGGAGAGAACGAGGAGACTAAACGAACAAAAACAAACGTATAACGAAAAAGTATATGGCACAACACGCACGTAGGCACGCGCGCGCTGGCGGGACCGTCGCCTGTAGGAGGAGACGGAGTGTCGATCCATTAGGATCAACGGACTTTGGTGGGCAGACTCGTTCACTGATGTGTGTGTGTGTGTGTGTGTGTGTGTGTATTTGTCTGTGTGTGTATATAGTAATATTATGTATGAACGATGTAATATTATAATATATATTATATATATAAATATATTTAAAAGTTAGACGCTAAAAGAGTGAAGAAAAAGAGTAAGGTGAAGAGTGGTCGGAGGAGGAGTAGGAGGAGGACGGCGACGAATTTATACAATTGTTTTCAAGTTGTATATTGTATAATATTATGCGCTCGAGTTTCGTAACGAGTGAAATACCTATTAATATATTATAATATTATCGTAGTCGTACGACAAGACAAAATATTATACGCCACGCCACCACACGTTGTGTGAACAATAATAATGGTGCTGAGGATATTACGCGATTTATCGTCCTCGTCAACGTACCTTTGAACGTCAGGGACCTGCCCAGTTTAGTTTCGTTTTTCGGAAATTTCATGGTTTCTGGTGACAAAAAATCAACGATCCATTCTTTCGCCGGCTCCAACGATCTGAAATGACGTAATATATATTTTTAGCACACATAGATCTATACATTTTCTTATAGTATACACCTACATAATTTATGTAACATCATGAAGTATATGTTATGGAAAAAAAACATGACATATTATAAATTCAAGCTATTAAACATTCAACGAGCATATAGGTTATCATAATATGAGAAACCGAGACAGTTTCGTTTCACCGAACAATAAGATTTTGTTCCTTGAGCTTAAAAGTGTAAAGATAGTTGTGATGATCTTCGGTAAGCGTGAGAAAACCATTTTTTTTTCATGCCTGCCCCAAAAGTTTAATTTTCAATTCCGGTCGAAACGCTCGAAAATTATATCATTCCGTCCAGCGGACAGTAAATTAGTCTAACGTCAACTTCCGGTCCGGACATATAGTCAGCATCACGACGCCATGCTGTTCCACTGTTTTACGCTGCAGAAAAAACGTGCAGTGTATCGATACATTTTGTAATATATAAAAATATACTGGCTGGTAATGTTTAAGTGCAGTGCTGTTCTATGAAAAAAAGTTTGGCTTAGCACAGAGACACCGATAACAGCAAGAACGGTTTATTATAATTTTTGGATTACCGTAATATCTAAAGACGTGGTGGTTTAGACGGTAAAAATTCCGATATTGGTATTAATGTATATAAGATAACCGATGTGTAGGAACTAAAATAGGTGTCTCAATTTTTCAGCGGGTAGGAACTATATAACATAATACCTCATTTTTCTCGACGTGAAGGAAACTAATGTATGTAATTTTTAACCTTCTAGACTCGTGTAGAAACTTACGATTTTCTAATCTATACCATAGTGTTTTTAAATTCATAGCTTAGTACATTTTTGGGTGAAACGAGTTTGTATTGGTTAAGGTTTCCATATATCAGAAGTTCGACACATAATATTATTATGCGGTTAGTAGAAACTTTCAAAAAGAGACATTTATTATTGTCACGAAAATAATGAAATAATCTATTTAGATATTTTTTTTACCATTTTTTCGATGTTATTAGTGTTTACAGGTTGATAATTTAATATTGTGTACAAATTACAAGGTTCCTCATATAAAATGCATACACTTTAAAATCATACTTTGTAAATCGAGCCACGTTCAGGACTGAATTAAATGATTTATCATTGCTTTCAGATTTATAATAGTAGGTATACAATACTGGCATATGCCAAGGTGAACGAAAGTAAATGTGTTTACAACACCCAGTTTTATGTGTGTTATCTGTACCAACAACCAATGCTTTAAAAAAAATCAAAACTAACAGAATGAAGAAGTGAATATTAATATTTAAACATTAAGAACAAACAATAATTTTAAATTTTTATTTAAATATCAAAAAAATATTAGTTTAAAAATAGGTATTAAAAGCTGTCTCCACAAGAATATAGTATAGAGAATTATGTTTTTGTCACGCCTACACAGAAAGTTTAATTTTCGATGACGGTCAAAGCGTTGGAAAATGAACTTTTTCCGTCCAGCGTACAGTAAATGCTTTTTTTCTGCACAGTGGCAGTTTGTCTAAATCAGATTAATAAGTAAACATGAAAGTATAGATGATACATATTGTCTAATATATCAAATATTATACGGTAGGAGCGTTACTCCCGTTCTGTTCTATGAAACAGTTTGGCGAAGCTAGAAACAGAGAGCACCGTAAGAACAGATAATTATGACTTCGGACTACCGTAACATCGATATAGGTCCACCACGGAGGTGGTTAGAGGCGTAACACATATTATTGTAAGTGTGGCTCGTGCGGAAGGTAATTTCAGTCTTGGGTGAAAGCAGTGCTATAGCCTGCGGGGCTTGTGCCGAATACGTCACCCACGAATGAAATGTAACTTCCCGCCCTTGTCTCAGAATATATTATAAGCTTGAATTTTTTTCCCAATACCATTTTAAAGTAAAAATAAAACTTTATAATTTGAAATTTTTATGCTGCGCGGAAAAACATTGAATTTTTATGTTTTTGGTGGTAGCAATTTATACGGTTTATCTCGAAATAAAGCAGGATCGGTTATTAAAATATTATGTATTTATAAATGTTTAAATGCAACTGTAATACGAATTATGCTATGCTAAAAAAATAAATGACATAATCGAATAACGCGATTAATCAATAATTACAAGTATTACAACTATAATATCGATAAATTATATAATTTAAATTTCGTTAATGTTTGTTTGGCAAATGGGAACTGTATAAGTATAACGGTCAAAAAGAGTCGAAATATTTTGAAAATATTATCACGACGTATAAGAAATGCTAATATAAACATTTTGTGAAAACTTTTCTGAGAAAATTTTTCTGTTATTCGTTTTAAAGTCAAACCACAAAATCGATTTAACCAAAAAATGCTTTTAAATATTTCCATTTTCCCTTTAAATGTAGTAGTAATCTTTTACTTTTGACCTTCCAAAGCAAGTAAGTACCAACTAGATCGAATTTGCTCCCACAAAGATGAAAATCAAAGTATTTTCATTGCCCCAAAAGGTGATGACTCTTTCCGTCTCTGTGCACAGAACGAAATTTCCGAAATTTCAGAAATCTAATATCTAAATGTACAAGGTTCTTCAATAATTAGTCTTACAGTATTTTAAAAACATCTGAAATATATTTTCACAGCTTTTATTATTATTTTTTTAAGAAATTTAATATCTAAATGAAAAATAACGATTGTAATTCAACATATAACGTATACCTATATTTTAGAATCAATACAATTTTCAAAATATTTAGACTATAGATAATTAAGCCACGGACCTATTCACAACGGACAATGGTCAACGTTATATGATGACTTATAAATATTAATTTAATAACATACTATATATGCAGTTTTATAATATGTTATTGATAATATAATATTATACGCGATGTTTTTGGCAAATATAGTTCACACCATACCGTGCTACTCAGGTGTGGACGCTCACGCAATTAATATAAAAAGACATTGTAAAATATAATTCAGTGGCGTATTTACGGGGGGGGATCATTGGGTTTGATCCCCCCCCAAGGCTTGAGTTGAGTTTTTTTTTTTTTTTTTAAATCTAAATTAGACGATAGTCCGGGAGCCGTCGAAAGAGTGAGGACTGAGGAGAGCGCGCGAGCAGCTGCTGGCTTATTTTGTAGTATTTCTGGACATTCTACTGGTAAAGAAAAATTTATCCTTGAAAAAAAAAAGGAGTAGAGAATAATATACAATCTTTATGTGCAACTATTCCTAAATTGTTATATAATGGATCATTAGAAATTAAATCTGCCAAGTTTGTTGATGTGCAATGCCTAGCATCAAAGTATGTTCCACCTGAATACATTTGGTTCTATAGATCTTTAGTTGAAAAAACCAGTTCTAATCAAGATAACAATGGTACTATATCCAATGATAAAGATGACTAGGTATTAAAAATTGTTACTCAGTTTTAATATTAATATTAAAGAAAATATATTTTAGAATATTAAGAAATCAAAATGATTATTAGTTTTGTTTTATTAATTTTATTGTTTTGAAGTATAATTTTGTTTAAGATTTCAAATTTGAATTATTATGAGTGATATTATTTATTATTTTTATTATAAAATTTAAGAATCGAGGAGATTATTAGTTTTGTTTTATTAATTTTATTGTTTTGAAGTATAATTTTGTTTAAGATTTCAAATTTGAATTATTATGAGTGATATTATTTATTATTTTTATTATAAAATTTAAGAATCAAGGAAATCATTAGTTTTGTTTCAAATATTTTACTGTTTAACTATGATTGATAAAAAATCAAGTTAATTAATAGTTTTGTTATAAATATTTCATTGGTTTTTATTATTTTATTTGTTGTAAGATATTATATGTAATGACTGATAAAATCAAGCTGATAAATAAAATATCCATGTTACTAATATTTTTATTTTACTATCTTTTACCATGTTCATATCATTTATAATGTAGTTAAATGTGTTTACATTCTACTATGACTAATATTATTACCTATCGCTATCTTTAAGGTATGATAGCCAGTTTTTATGTAAAATTAAATGAATAACAATTTAATTTTTCAGTTAACATAATACTAAGTGGTTAAAGTAGAAATATTACTGAAGAATAAACAAAATTCATAAAGTAATATATTTAAACTATATATAGCTAAATATTATTAGTGAAAAAACTTATGACTTCTATACACTTACTAAGCTTATTTTAATAAATTTATTTGTATATTTATCAGAGTTAAAACTAAAAACAATAAATCATTTTTGGAGTTAACTTGTTTATTGTCCAGAAATTATAACTATTTTTTTGTTTATTTTTAAAATCATGTACAGGTTTAGTTTTTTTTTCTTAAAACTCAAGTGTGCTGTTTGATAGTATAATTACATGATAATTATTAACTCAGTTAAATAAAAAAAACTAATTCTTAGTAAGATTTTTACATAATAAAAAAAATAAAAAAAAAAGATTTAATAACTCCGAGCAATAAACAAGACAACTCCAAGAAAAATTTCTTATTTGTGGCTAAAAGTGTAAAAAATATTCATGTATCAACTTAATTAAGGGTACCACAGTTTTTATCACTATTTTAAGTATATAAAATAATTTTTCTTTTTATTATTCTTCACTTAAATATATATTAAACATTAAATATGTGCTTCCTGAAAAAAATGATAAAACGGAGCTGTCTGGTTATTGCACAGAGCCCTTCAATTGTCCAAAACATCTAGAAAACTACTTTGTTTTGTAAAATAAAAATAAAAAAAAATTGTAGTAAAATTGTAGTTTTATATTTAAGTATTTAAAGTTAGGGGGGTGAGGGGGGCGGAGCCCCCCTCGAGTTGATAAGTACTGGATAAAATCATATCCCCCCCCATGACAAAATCCTAAATACGCCACTGAAATATATTCTACATTCCTATTGAATGTAAAATTATCCGTTATGCTTAAGTAAACACAATCGGGTATGACGTCCTCTTAATATTGATTGAGTAAATATATTTCTGATATTATACCCTAAAAAATGTATGTTATACCTACTTATAGTATTTGGTATACCTAACAAAAAAATGTCTGAATACTGATTGTATATGTTTATATTTTATATTTTAGTTCAAGTTGTTTCATTTTATATGAATGTTATACCATCTCAGATAATATAATATGAAATTATAAAAATAAAATAACCCAGTAAACAAAAATTTAATTAAAAAAAAATGTAAATATTTGTGTTGTTAGTGAAATATTTCTACGGTTAACTTAGTATTGTATTACTAAAATATTGTATTTGATTTCTCTGGTTACTTTATAAAACTATTTCTGTTAAATACACTATATTCAATTTAAATGCATTATTTATTTTTTAAACTATATACTTGTACCAACACTAAAATGAGTTTTATTCGTGGTACATTTCGGCTTGACTATGATTTATAAAGATGGACAGAGTTCTTTGAATTATTTTTAGTTTATACATTATACATTATTACTGTAGGCTTTATCCGGGGTATGGTTTGTGTGGGCATTATTGTTAAACAATTATTTACGTGGGTTAAATTTTAACTTTTTTTTATTCTTAAGCGTTTATGTCTTTGTTTGTCTTATGTTTATGATCTGTTTGATTGTTTACAAGCATTTTCTGAAAATATGAATATTTAAGTACACCGAGGACATCGAGTGCGCTATTCAGACTTATACAATTATTGCATAATGTATATAATACAGTATGCAATGGGCTTAAATGGTTATTATTGTAATATTTTCTTTAAACTTAAGATGGTATATATCTATATTAATTATTAATAAAAGGAAATGTTTGTGTGTGTTTGTATGCGATTCATAGCCAAGTTTATTGCACTCGTGGCTCTGAAATTTGGTACGTATATAACCAAAATACTTGAGGATATGCTGCTATTAAAGCCAAATTTTTAATATTAGGATTTTAAAGGAGGGCCCACACAGAATGTGTTGGCTTACAAAAAACGAATCTTTTTTTTTGTTTGCATAGGGTTGCCATATGTTACAGAAAAAAATAGTTACTATAATTGGCTATAACCGGAAACTGATTTGTACTTAAAACTATGTAGGTACTTATTTTTATTAAAAATGGGCTTTTAAGATATCCTTATGGGGGTTCAATTAAGGTTTCAAACTTACAACAAAACTGGATAATACAAATCTTCTTCATCAAAAAGTAATGATAAGTAGGTAATATAATTTTTATAATAATTTTTATAATAATTGTTCAACTCAATTTTTTTTAATCTTTACACTTTTTGCAATAATGTTGACCAAGGGACCTAGTGAGAATAAAAAAAAATATTTAAAATAGAAATTAGTTTCTAGAAATGTTGAATTTTAAAATTATCACTTGACGACTATTTGTATGACGATGACGAAATATGTATGACTACCTATAACAATTAAAATGGGTGGTTTAAAGTGGAAAAACCAATTACCTACGCACTTTCTTTAAACTAGTCGAATAATATTAATGTAGTAAATCAGTCATGTGAGAATTCACATTACAGCATTTAAGTTATTATGATATAGTTAGAATTCAAAAATACTCAAGATTGTGTGATTTTTTAAAGGCGTTTAAATAGGTATATTCGCAGCTTATTAGTTATGTTACATACATAGTTTTAGTGGCGAAGACAGGGGAGAGGGGGTGGAATAAATGTATTATTTATATACGAAAACTGTAAAAATAAACTTAGGTTAATTTATACTTAACACCCCCTCCCCATATTTCATAATCATGGATACTCCACTGCATAGTTCAGTAACATTTTTGGTTTTTCTAGTATCTTTTTATATAGGTTCCACCTTACATAAATAATTGTCATGTAACACGTTAGTTCAACATAAGATAGCCAAGACGGATTGTTCAAGTATAATATGATAGGTCAAAGTTATTTTACCGGTAGGTAACTATTGACAAATAAATAATAATTTATGATACATACTCGATTTTTTCTTTGTGACACCGAATGCACAGCCATTCGGGAGCATGCGTGGCAGTTGAATATTCCCTGCAAGACATACATATTCGTTCACGGCAAGCACGACAATTGGCCCCTCTATTGATTATCCGGCCCAGTTCGGCCCGGCATCGAGCACAACAGTGTCCAGACCATAGACTGGACTCGCATCGTAATACTTCTAATTCACCGCTAGCCATAGTATCGTATTGCCTAGAAATAAACAAATATTTAATAGTGAAAAAACATTCAAACCTCATGAAAGCAGGTATCTATTTTTAGCCTAAAAGATTTTGATTTATAATAGTCATTTAAAAAAATAATAACAGGCCTCCACATAAAGATTAATTGTATTTCACACCGTGCTCATACATTTTCTGCAGTTAAATATTGTAGAAACTATAATATGAAATTAAACCTGGCTACATTAGGTAAGTATACCTATACATAGCTTGATGAGAATTAAATTAAACGTACAAATGAATAATGCAAACAATAATGTTAATTCATAACGCGCTGTTATTTCTAGTTGTTCGAGTACAAATAAACTGAATACACGACGAAAACACAGTTCCATTATTTTAAATTCAACTAGTTGTTCTTCTCTAAGAGGACAATTTATCTCTTATGACCGATGACCTTAACTACCATTCGTAATTGAAATTCATTATTTATTTTCCTCCCGAGTTCGTCGTAAAAACAACATCTGTTTTTCTCGTTATTGTCACGTCCGCGAGGTCCGTTCCTAGTTTTCCGCCAATGCTTATGCAATTTGTACGACATAATCTTCAAATACAATAATATGAAAAACCACTCAAGAACGTTAACGCAAAGAGTTATTCCATGTCAAACGTTGAACGGCACTCCCGATTAAAATGCGATGCATATCGATGGCATAGCGCACAAGTGTGATAAGTGACATTTTTTTGAAAAATGAGTTAAGAGCATAATCAATTTAATCATACAATTCTGCACATTATGCCCAAACGTTTTAAGTGAATAGTTCATTATTTACTCCGATAGATGTCGTACAGTTCGTTACATTTATGAATTTGTTATAACATCTCAAACTTAAAAATCGTTCTCCTGAACAATTACGAAAATGTCACTTATCACACTTGTGCGCTACGCCATCGATATTAAATACTAAATATAATATTATATATTATTATCTGATATCGGTTGATATAATATTAAATATACGATTATTGATACAAAATATGCCCAAATTCTTCTGCCCACGTACCATCAGATATATCATCAATGCAATAAAATTGTGCTGTGTACATTATGCCTACCGGTTCTGTAATCCAATTTCATGACGTAGGTATGTGTGTCGTCTTTTTAATAGGCGTGAATCAGTGATACAACGCGAACCCATAATATTTTTCACAAAATACTTTTACTATTACTTTTTATTATACGCTGTATTATAAACCGTTTATAATCCAAACGAAACGCATCTCGGAACAGTATTACCAAGAATATTTTATTGTGAAATCTGCGAATCGGCTTTGGGTATAAACTATAGAGCACACCAACAGTATTCAAATTTTATTTAAATTTTTTTATGAAATATTTTCGAAGAGTATATTATCAAGTGTTTATTATATTGTTATCGTTGACAGAGATAACGAAATATATTATAATATATAATTTTATCTTGGAATTCAGGGACTTCACTTCACAGTTGTGAAATTAATCATACTATACATATTTGGGCACAGCAACTATATTAACTAAAGTATATAAACTATGACATATAAGCCTTGGCCTCATGGTAAAAATATAAATATAATAAGTATTATGTACCTATTATTATTCTGAACCAAAATATCCAAACCATATGGTGTCGGAAGCTTAATTTGATATACATTTCAATGGTAAATAATAAATTATGTTTTGATTGAAATTTTAGATTAATATTAAGTAACTTGGTTATATGTGTGTTATAAAATTGGATTTCTTTTAATAAAATAATGATCTACAATGTTTGGATTTTTTTTTATATTTAATATTTTTCATCTGTCATGACTCATCATGACTATCCAATATTATTTTCTATACCTATACCATCAATCATAATTACGACAACAAATTATAGTTACGAACTCATTTTTTTTTCTTTTTTTTGGTATTATATAAAAATAATGTATTTTCGAAAAAAATCTAGTCCAAATGTACAATTGCACAATGAACACACAAGGTATAATCACATAGATTTCTCCCTCCAAGTAGCATTCAAATTTTTGGCGTAATTGTATACAGAATGTGTACTCAGTGATGCTAACATTATATACGTAATTCTAATTAATCAAACAAGATATTGTAAAAACATAAATTATGATTTTATCATTGCAGTAGATAAAAAAGATAATATACTATTTGTTATTGTTATACTCGTATATAATACAAAATATGGGTTCATTATAGACATTATCTAAACACAACCATGTTATACGAGTATTTGAGTGATATTTGTTACTGAAATGTGTTGCGAAAGTGAGTACTTAACTTATATTTGCATAATTGCCTTAATATCATGTTTCACATGCAACGTATTTAATCTATATTGTATGTAGATATTTAAAATAATTACAAAGTGTTTGTTTATCGATGATAAATAGCACTTGTAATTTTAAACTCAAACAAGACATATTAAAGCACCTCATTTAATCACATTCACAAAATGAAGAGAAATCACTGCGAGTGAATTAGGTTTAAATAATAATTTATTTCTATACAGGCTAAACAAAAATAATTAAGAATTAGGAACTGAAATATGAATCAATTTAAATGTACCAAAACATACCTTAATTAAATTCAAGAAGAGGTCTTGAATACTTAGATCATTACAAAGGTATATAATATATCACAATCAAAAATATAATAATAAATAATAATTACCATATATACGTATATACGATATTTTGTGAGTTTAATAGTTGATTTGGACCAACATTTCTTTTCGATTTCATTAAAATGTGTGCGCTTGCTTATCGATATACTTAATAAGGAAACCACAAATGTACAATACATTTTATTTACATCATGAATCTAACACAATACCAATATACATAGTAGGTTCATATTGTTTAACAATACCGCAATTAGTAAAAACATATTTGTAGTCAATAGTATACTACCCGAGTTGTTAAAGATATATTATTTAAGTCATAAAGTCTGTAAAAACACTTTTTGGCACAGAGAGCACGTACAAATACAAGTTCATTCCTCGTCGCTTTTATCAAATGAGGTAATTTGAAATGTAGGTGTGAATAAAAGTGAATGGAAATTAATAATTAGAACTAAAATAACGAATGTCGAATAAAATATTGAAATTACAGAGGAAAAATATATTGACACAGAAGAGATGTATATAATTTATTATTACCAATTGGAGACCAAAATTATCACAAAGTGTATAAGACTTTATTTAGTAACTAAAAAATTATACTTTAGATTTAACATAAATATTATTAGGTGAACGATGTTGGAAAATAATAATTTAATTATCCTTACAGAATCATAATTCGAGGAACTTTGCGTTCTAAAAATTATATAATGTACCTACCAATATTGTAAGATCATCAATTATACTATATAGGTACAACGAAAATAGAACTGATAACTAAGTAGGTACCTAATAAACCTGGTTCATTATCGTTGCAAACGTAAAATCATAATCGATGAAAATAATTTAAAGGGGGGTTCACACTACACCGTGTCGTGTAAAATAATCACGGTTACCACAGTTACCAAACGATACCGCATAGTTGAATATATTCAACTTTTGACCGTGTGGCTACATTTATGTGCAGATAAAGCCGGGTTCATACTTAATGTAACCACACGGTCAAAAGTTGAATATATTCAACTATGCGGTATCGTTTGGTAACTGAGGTAACCGTGATTATATTACACGACACGGTGTAGTGTGAACCCGCCTTAAGTCTCTATAGCGACCAAGAACATATTATTTTTGAAAGAGACGACCAACGTATACCCGAGGTTACCATGCCATGTGGCATGAAGTCATCGGTGTCCGCAAACGAAACAAACATATCAACAGTACCTATATTAAATACTTAATAGTGGTACAGTAATTAATAACAATAATGATCATATTATTTTAATAGCTAGGTAGTGAGTACTACGTACCGGTGTACTTCTGTTATTAATTATTATTATTATTACTATCATCATCATAACCGGTGGTTGGTGTACTCGAGTACTCGACCGGTCTCTTCGTGAATATGCGCGCTCGCGCGAGTGTGTGAGTGTGCGTACAACTGCGTACACGAGCGAAATAAACAATGGATGACGGTGGCGGCGATAGAGGAACCGGTACGAGCCGTACCGGCAAACACACACACAGGCACACGTGCGCTCACGTATTCTATAATACTTGCGTATAATATTATATTATAATGCAGTCGAAGACGAAGACTGTGTCGACGACGACGAAGAGGAACTGCAGAGTAAGACGAAGAGAAGAACTGAGAAGTCAACAGGGCAACGACCAATAACACACACACGTACGCGCACGCGCGATCGCACGCCATATATATATTATATATTATGAGACACGACGAGTCTTTCAACTCACGTACGCACACACATAAACTCACACACACACATCCGCACCGTAGATACTACAACTACAGTTTGCTGTGTGTTAATAATACACGATAATAATATTATTATCATAAAACTTTAATGCTTAAATCGTACTATTATTCATATTACAAAATATTATCACACAATATGTGCGACGGCACGACAGAGGCGTTTCCGTTTTGCTAAGGATGAGATAAGAACCAAAAAAAGTACAGGTTACCTAGGTATCCGATGTCGTTACTACTAATATTTAAACAGAACAAGTGCATCGCCGATATTCATACGCTGAAGAATGGATCTCTGCAGATGATCAGATTGTGCCTATATAGTAGTAATATTAATTTATTATTAGGTATATTATGTATATAATTATACGACGTATGTTATGACGTCTTCACAATAATTGTTAGTAAACCTTGAATGACTTATATAGGTACTACGGATATGACTAACAGTAATAAACCTGAATTGATTTTGCATTACACGCGAAGTTGGCGTCAATAACCCATAAACATATACCCTGTTCAAAATAAGAAGCGACCTGATTTACGCTTGAAAACCGGTTTTACTAGTGGCCGCC